GTAAGTGTACCAGACTTAGAAAGTGGCCCACATGCACGTGCTTCAATGTGTGGTTGTGTTTCATCCCTTACCAGATGACAACCCGGTATAATCTCGCAGACTTATCTCTTGCTATATCTTGGATAAATATAGCTAAATATAAGGTGTCACTGGGACATTGACAACGTTAAGTGCACGTATGTGGGTAGGTGACGCTGGGACATTGACAACGTTAAGTACATGTATGTGGGTAGGTGACACTGGGACATTGACAACGTTAGGTACATGTATGTGGGTAGGTGACGCTGGGACATTGACAACGTTAAGTACATGTATGTGGGTAGGTGACGCTGGGACATTGACAACGTTAAGTACATGTATGTGGGTAGGTGACACTGGGACATTGACAACGTTAGGTACATGTATGTGGGTAGGTGACACTGGGACATTGACAACGTTAAGTACATGTATGTGGGTAGGTGACACTGGGACATTGACAACGTTAAGTACATGTATGTGGGTAGGTGACACTGGACATTGACAACGTTAAGTACATGTATGTGGGTAGGTGACACTGGACATTGACAACGTTAAGTACATGTATGTGGGTAGGTGACACTGGGACATTGACAACGTTAGGTACATGTATGTGGGTAGGTGACACTGGGACATTGACAACGTTAGGTACATGTATGTGGGTAGGTGACACTGGGACATTGACAACGTTAAGTACATGTATGTGGGTAGGTGACACTGGGACATTGACAACGTTAAGTACATGTATGTGGGTAGGTGACACTGGTACATTGACAACGTTAAGTACATGTATGTGGGTAGGTGACACTGGGACATTGACAACGTTAAGTACATGTATGTGGGTAGGTGACACTGGGACATTGACAACGTTAGGTACATGTATGTGGGTAGGTGACACTGGGACATTGACAACGTTAAGTACATGTATGTGGGTAGGTGACACTGGGACATTGACAACGTTAAGTACATGAATGTGGGTAGGTGACACTGGGACGTTGACAACGTTAAGTACATGTATGTGGGTAGGTGACACTGGGACATTGACAACGTTAGGTACATGTATGTGGGTAGGTGTCACTGGGACATTGACAACGTTAAGTACATGTATGTTGGTAGGTGTCACTGGGACATTGACAACGTTAAGTACATGTATGTTGGTAGGTGTCACTGGTACATTGACAACGTTAAGTACATGTATGTGGGTAGGTGACACTTGGAGTGTGTAGTTTGTGGAGTCAATCATCTGATGGTGTGTGTAGTTTGTGGAGTCAATCATATGATGGTGTGTGTAGTTTGTGGAGTCAATCATCTGATGGTGTGTGTAGTTTGTGGAGTCAATCATATGATGGTGTGTGTAGTTTGTGAAGTCAATCATCTGGTGATGTGTGAAGTTTGTGAAGTCAATCATCTGATGGTGTATGTAGTTTGTGGAGTCAATCATCTGACTGTGTGTTTTGTTTGTGAAGTCAATCATCTGGTGGTGTGTGAAGTTTGTGAAGTCAATCATCTGATGTGTGTAGGTTGTGGAGTCAATCATCTAATAGTGTGTCGTTTGTGCAGTCAATCATCTGGTGGTGTGTGTACGTAGTGAAATCAATCATCTGATGGTGTGTGTAGTTTGTGGAGTCAATCATCTGACTGTGTGCAGTTTGTGAGTCAATCATCTGACTGTTTGCAGTTTATGGAGCCAATCATCTGATGGTGTGTGTCGTTTGTGGATTCAATCATCTGGTGGTGTGTGTCGTTTGTGGGACAATCATCTGATGGTGTGTGTAGTTTGTGGAGTCGATCATCTGATGGTGTGAGTCTTTTGTGGAGTCAGTTATCTGGTGGTGTGTGTAGTTTCTGGGGTCAATCATCTGGTGGTGTGTATAGTTTGTGGAGTCAATCATCTGGTGGTGTGTGTACGTAGTGAAATCAATCATCTGATGGTGTGTGCAGCTTGTGGATTCAATCATCTGACTGTGTGCAGTTTGTGGAGTCAATCATCTGACTGTGTGCAGTTTGTGGAGTCAATCATCTGGTGGTGTGTGTAGTTTCTGGGGTCAATCATCTGGTGGTGTGTATAGTTTGTGGAGTCAATCATCTGATTGTGTGTGTAGTTTGTGGAGTCAATCATCTGGTGGTGTGTGTAGTTTGTTGAGTCAACCATCTGACAGTGTGTAATTTGTAGGAGTCAATCATCTGATGGTGTGTGTCGTTTGTGGGGTCAATCATCTGGTGGTGTGTGTACGTAGTGAAATCAATCATCTGATGGTGTGTGTCGTTTGTGTAGTCAATCATCTGGTTGTGTGTGTCGTTTGTGTAGTCAATCATCTGGTGGTGTGTGTACGTAGTGAAATCAATTATCTAATGGTGTGTGTCGTTTGTGTAGTCAATCATCTGGTGGTGTGTGTACGTAGTGAAATCAATCATCTGATGGTGTGTGTCGTTTGTGTAGTCAATCATCTGATTGTGTGTGTAGTTAGTGAATTCAATCATCTGATTGTGTGTGTAGTTAGTGAAATCAATCATCTGATGATGTGTGTACTTAGCGGAGTCATCATCTGATGGTGTGTAATTTGTAGGGGTCAATCATCCGATGGTGTGTGTCGTTTGTGGGGTCAATCATCTAATGGTATGTGTACGTAGTGAAATCAATCATCTGATGGTTTGTGCAGTTTGTGGAGTCAATCATCTGATGGTGTGTGTACTTAGCGGAGTCATCATCTGATGATGTGTGTAGTTAGTGAAATCAATCATCTGATGATGTGTGTACTTAGCGGAGTCATCGTCTGATGGTGTGTGTCGTTTGTAAGTCGAACGTGCGAGGATGTTTAACAGAATGCAAATTGTGGGACAAGGTCAAAGGAAATCAAAGTTGTGGAATACATTTGCCTTATTCAGTTTGTATAAGAGCTAGTTCACAATAACGTTATCGGGAACAGCAATTTCCTCAGACTAGTCCGTTGTGTAACGCAATTGTGAGAAACACACAGCACTATGCAGACAATGCTACATTTATTCCGGAGATAAAATCAAACCGATTTTCCTGTGATTGAGAATTAAATGATACAGCGTTTCCCGAGAGGGCGATGTGCTGCGTGAGATAAGGTTATCACACCAGAGAATAATCGTCTCCGGTTTCGCTGGACGTGAGATCAGTGAAAGCGAAACAGCACTGTGACATTGAGAGCGCCCCTGTGCAGTATCGGAGCGGAATCTCAAAACAAAATGACAGAGTTTAGCTTGTCTGGGATACGACAGAATTTCGTTGACTTTCTCCTGCTACGCAACCATCACCACTCATTAAACTAGCTCTGTGACTAGACACGCGAAATCTTAAACAGAGCACGCCCTCGAGGCTCCAGACGCATGCGCGGGCTTGTCCATTGTCATAGCAACTTTCATCAAAAACGTCCCATTATCACTGCAGCGGAATTTCATTTATATTTAGGAGACTCGCTTCTCTAATGTAATTGAATTTCTTGTTGCAACTTTACCTTCTGTTGGTTAGGAGGTGCAGTCTGCTCATTGCGATGTGCAATTTACTGATGATTTCCCGTATAAGATAAGTTGCAAGTGTGTTTTGTTTGCAAGAAAAATATTAATAACTTAACATCCGTGTTTGAAAAAACTGACTACACGAGATTACATCGGTAATGGCCAACATGGGTTGAGAGCTGTTGACGGCATGGCCAGTATTGAAAGGGGTACATGTGATGTTCCTCCTGTGAAGGAAGGGGGCATTGTGTTGGCGGAAAGTCTGGCAATAACACAATTGACATGCAGCTTCTTCAGTTGATCTGCTCACCAAAGTGGGCATGGTTTCCGCGATTAAAAAAAGTAATTTGCGTAAAACCTGCACCATGGCATAATTGTGCATTGTCAGTCGTTTGGGCGGCATGTGATAAAGCAATGTACAACATCACGGTGCAATTCCTTGCTTGGTTCTCACCAATAAGTACTTTATTCATTCAGTGATGTGTAACTCAGTGTAATCCTACAGTGATGTTCAGCTCAGTGTAATCCTACAGTGGTGTTTAACTCAGTGTAATCCTACAGTGATGTTTAACTGAGTGCAATCCTACAGTGGTGTTTAACTCAGTGTAATCCTACAGTGATGTTCAACTCAGTGTAATCCTACAGTGGTGTTTAACTCAGTGTAATCCTACAGTGATGTTTAACTGAGTGCAATCCTACAGTGGTGTTTAACTCAGTGCAATCCTACAGTGGTGTTTAACTCAGTGTAATCCTACAGTGGTGTTTAACTCAGTGCAATCCTACAGTGATGTGTAACTCAGTTTAATCATACAGGGATGTGTAACTCAGTGTAATCCTACAGTGATGTGTAACTGGTTGTGTATGTTTTCCTGTCAGTACTGGTGAAAGCACTAGACATGTTTGACAGGCTCGGGAAGTCGTGGAGGCTTTCTTGGGTCTTGTAAAGGCATGGGACATAGCCAATCTCCCAGCAGCAGAATACCATGCTAAAGGTGTCGACTTGAACTATTATCCCTTTGAATTATTGAAGCTACGGATTAGATAGCCTTATAAATTCAAAGAAATGAAATCAACTCGTCCATCTGTAATGCGTATAAAATCTACTTCCACCGTCTAGTTTTAATGTCGACATAAGCCTGAAACAACTTGTCTCGCTTTCTGTGTTGACACAAGTACTTACCAGACGCCCGCAGAGTACAATAGCTTATTCATAAACCCAAACAAAACAACACCTACTGTACGACCCACAATAGGTAATCCCTGGGGCTAGTTCACCCCACCCTCCCCCACCCCTCCTTGTCTATAAGCGCTGATTGATTGTAGCTACCCCTTTCCTCTCTTCTATTGTTTTGCCCCGAGTGTTGCTTATCCTGAATGTGCCCACCACCCTTTTGTCCCCATATAAAGGGCATGCTTGTCAGATTCGACATCACAGCTCCACCACTTGACGAGGGAGTTAGATACACCATCAACTCTTCTATCTGCCCGCTGCACGTAAGTAACTTACTTCCCCGTTTTAAAACATTTTTTCACGACCTGTGTCCCACGCTATGGTTTGTGTCCAACGAGCAGCCTTCCCGGCTCGCTCCACAACTCAATACAGTTACATGAGTACAGCGCCTATGTCCAGATCCGTCTGCCAGCTGCTTGTTGCTGGTTTGTGTTTAAAATGATATGTTCACGTATGTTCAAACGAGCTATGAACCTTATGTCACATTTTTTGACAAACCCGTTAGCTGTGGTGGTTAAACATATCGAGCCAGTCCCATGTAAATCATGCAGCATAATACAGTGAAACATGGGTGGCATAACTTGATCATCTCATTCAATATACCGGGTAGTATTTACTGAGGGAGGCTATTTTAGGGAGCGTATCTCCTATGAATATTTTCATTGGCGCGAAAGGTAGTAATTTGCAAGGTCATGACCCTATGGCCTACGCAACATAGCGCGTGGTGCAGGGAAGTAGGTCATGTGATTTCACGAAGTTCAGGTGGATGTAAGGGAGGTGTTCATTTCATTTGTTGATAACACATCAATTGTGATATGAAGGCCAGTCACTGGACGGTCGGTGTATGAACGTATACGGTGATGTCGTGGCTGTCGGGGGAGGAGTGTGTCCCTGTGTCAGCCATTGCAGAAGTAGGATAGTTGATAAAACACGTGGCCACAGCACCAGGACGCTTTTACTGGGATAGACATCTAGGGATGACACACATGGCTAGCTGTCGGTCCCCAAGAGGCAGGTATGTTCACACTGTCTCTCACCCTTCAGTTGGTCCACACCAGTTATGTGGACGACATCACCTCACATTGTACAGATTCGGGTCTTGCTGTATTGTCAAGCGCAACCTACGTTTTGGAAAGAAATTAATTTAGTCTGTTTTCACCAAGTTACACGTCTGTTTTCGGCTTCTTCTCGCCTGGGTGACATTTGAAGGTACAGGTATTCGTCTGTGCATACGGCTATGTTACTGTTTCTGTTGAATATACACGACAGGGCTCAGGTATAGTGGCTGTACGAGGTCGCCAGATGTTGCAGCCTATTTAAGGCACATCGACAGCTGTGTGTTTGGGTATTAAATGACAGTCGATTATAGGGGCCTTCACTTGAATCAGCTATTGTTAGACAGGTTTATAGATAATGCTCCACCGAGGCAGGGCGACGTCACCTCGGGTTAGGACTATGAAGGGGTTGAGTTCACACGGCAAGGTCGATGCCTCGATGCCCACATCTGTGGAGCGGTTCATGACCCACGTTACGTCACGGAAGGACGTGGTTAAGGTTGTGTCGTCGTGAACTGGTTGCCAGGGTATAGTGGCGGCCGTCCCCAGGGGTCACTCAAGTGTGTTGGATCCACGTACAGGTAAAGTGACTCAACCTACTGGCTTATTTGCTGGACCGTATTAACAAACAGACCAGACCCAACTCGGCAGCCTTTAATTGACAGTTGATGCAGAATACAGTGCAGCTGTGATACCAACATGTCGCATCAGCCATTGTGAGTCAAAGCTATAGGTTTCCCACACTGACTGTGACAGAGCATGGCCTGGAGCACTTCCCACGTCATTAATTATGCCCCCCCCCCCCCCCATTTCACCCCTATTTCAGACTATTGGTATTGAGGGGTCCACGTAGCCGCGGGCATAACACCGCTGGACTCCCGTGACCACTGACCATATCTACAACACATTGATGGTAGGTTTAGATGCTGATTGAACACATATACCATTTTCCTTTTCAGTTGCCAGACACGGTCCGCAGTTTCTACCGGAAGTGCTCACTTCTCAGTGGTGTTTCACTCGACTGTGTCACGTGATCAGCAACATCTCGCACTACATGATCACGTTTCCTTGTCACTGTTTCGTCCCGTGTGTTAAGCGAGACTGGACGGAAAACTGATAAGGGCACGTGTTGTGTTTAACTTCCTAGGCGGCGTCCTCAACAACTATTTCACCTCCTCTTCTGACCGTGTGCTTGGCATCTAGCTGTCCAATGAACAAGCTGCATTCCACACCACAGCCAATCAGATAAATGCCAATGCTTTCAACCGCCTGGTGCCGTGACTATGGCGGAAGTCAACTTGCCCTTTACGGATGGACATATACAGGAGCGCAGTGCGCGGGGCAGGACGTTGTTGTGCCGGAAGGTGGAATATTGCAGTTAATGCATGACTAAGTGAATTCCTTCACCGTATCCTCTGACGCATGGTCTGTTGCACCTTGGTAATTATAGTTTTTTTTTGCATGTGATATACTATTTTCAAGCACCTAAAAACGTTGTTATATTTTATTACCATTTTCTAGTTTTTGTCACTTGAACCCACTTCACAGTGAGCATTGTGATGTAGGGGCCACATAGCTATGTAGCCTTCTCCTACCCAGTGTGTGGGGGGCTCAACGGTGTCAGTCGCCTGCCCTGCACCCAGTGTCGCACAAACATCCCCAGCCAGATAGTCAATAGGTGAGGTGAGAGGGGAGCCCCCTGCCTCCCACCAGATGATGTGTACAGACACGTCGCCGGTAACCTGCTGACTCCAGCCGCGGAGAAACCGCAACATTATTATCGGGATCATACCAAGGGAGGTAACTAGGACAAAGGTAAAACTGTGTTATCTTTTCCTATCTCTTTTGTACTCATCTTCCCAGCACGAAGCCCGGGTGTATTATATTCGCCTGTCACCTCCCCTTGTTAAGCTGATCATTCTTTCATGTTGAGACCAGCTACTGTCACTGTGTGGTTGTGTCTATGCTTGTCAAGGGAGGAGTATTTTCAGCTCTCACTCAAGTATGCTGGGAGTAGCGTACTATCTAGGCCAACCCAGCAACACTCTGAGTTCAGTGACTCTGCCCTACTTGATCTAGATCGATGAGGGAATGAACGACTAGGTACAACAGTTCTTCCTCTCAGTGAGCCCGATCGCATTTCCCACAGATACTCCTGCACCCCGACCCGACAAAACCCTTCCCTCAACCATATATATAACTTCCACCTCAGTACCATCTTAACCCCATCTCGCAATCTACAGTATCCTGCCTTGGATGCCCAACCCATCATCTCACAGTCCCCTAACCTCATCCTTATATATTCACAGGTTACAGTCTCACCCCGAACTTTAGCCCAGCACAGTCAACCCCCCCCCCCCCCCCCCCAACCCATGACGTTGCACATTCCACAACTCCATTCCCACTGACTTCAGCTCCTAACATTCACCGCCCCACAAACCCAGTTTACCTAGGCCTGTGAGCCCCTGCCCCCAGAATCCCAGCCCATCATTACCCCCCAACCCTTAACTCCAGTCAGCCCCCTATCTCGGAACCCCACCCCACGGTCACTCTATTGGTTGTTTCATTCAATCCGACTGACGTTTAAAAGTGTTCATCTACTGTCACAAACGTTTTACTTTCCTAGATCTGAACCCGACCGAGGACCGAACATACCCTGGAACTATCCACAGCTGGTGGTTCAGACGTCATCGGCCATGTTCAGGCGACTACAAGCGTCTACAGGATACTCGATCTCTACCTGTACACCTTATCAGTTTTTCGTCCAATAATTTGTGTGACTGCATGTTTTGTGAGACTGCATGCATGTCCATGCGAGTTTTGAGAGGTCGGGTGTTGAGATTTTATGAACGCTTGGTGAGAATCCTGAGTGCGTGAATTTGAAATTTCAGCTGTCGTGACGTGGGGTAGAGACGGGTGGCGACGGTCGACATCATATCACCAATTTCACGTTTCCTTGTCACTTGTTCGTCCCGTGTGCTACTGGTCACTGGACGGAGAACTGATAAGGGCTTGTGGGTGACCATCCGGCGGAATGACCAAAGCCCATACCAACCGAAACCACAAAGCAAGAGGGTGGACACCCCGTGACCCGCTGCTGGATCGCGATGCCGCACAGTGACCACGTTGCGCACACCGCCGTCATATCATCATCGCACTTCATATGTACACTGAATAAACGTTCAATTTAATTTACATGTTGTCATGTTTCTAGTCTGTGGGACCCCGTGCGACGTTTCATTCCTGCTATAGTAGATTGGGAAAGTTTGATTCACCCGCTCATAGTTAATTATTATGATATCGGTCAATAATAAAACCTAATCCTTGATCTTCGATCTTGTTCTCACAGTAGACACCTACACCATCACCTGCATGCGAACACACCAAACGCAGATACACAATACCAACTGTATGCTTGCGTCAACATCTACTTTATAACCATATTCAAGTGATGACTGAAACATGGTTAATATAGCCAAAGACACGTGATGACTGAAACATGGTTAATATAGCCAAAGACTCGTGACGTCTGATACATGGTTAATATAGCCATAGACACGTGATGTCTGATCAATGGTTAATATAGACACGTGAAGTCTGATACATGGTTAATATAGCCATAGACAAGTGATGTCTGATACACAGTTAATGTAGCCACGTGATGCCAAATGATAGATACCCAAGAAAGTGTTTGAAATCATGGTATTGTATGACAAAGATTGATAGCAAAACTGGGTTTCGTCAGTTTAAAAGCTCATTAAAAATTTATGCTAAGGTTGTGCTTGACAAAGTCAAAATGTATATTATAGTGAACAAGCTTAAATATACGTACATACAAAAGTGGCATTGCTTTTTAGCTTTATCGTCAAAATGTCAGTACTTTAGTTTGTTTCAAACACATTTTATACCTGCAGAATATCTTTTGAAAGCACTCTTGTACAAATATAGAATTGCATTTTCTAAATGCAGAGTCTCATCACATGAATTATTTCAAGTATTGAAACTGGAAGACATTCCAAAATCCCAAAAGAAATTTGATTTTGTAAAATGTGTAATCTACAGCTGACAGAGGATGAGTACCATTTCGAATTCAAGGCCGTAGTTAACTACTTTTGACCCGGGTGTTGGGGGAGGGGGGGATAAGATTATTCATTTTTTATTCAAGTGAACTTTCACAAGGAAAAATGTTTTCTGTTATAAGCCCCCCCCCCCCCCCCCCCCCCCCCCCGCCCCCCCCTCCCCCTCCCACGTGATGCCTGATACACAGTTAATATAGCCATAGGCACGTGGTGTCTGATACATGGTTAATATAGCCAGATACACGTGATGTCTAATACATGGTTAATATAGCCAGAGACACGTGATGTCTGATACATGGTTAATATAGCAATAGACACGTGATGTCTAATACACGGTTAATATAGCAATAGACACGTGATGTCTAATACATGGTTAATATAGCCATAGGCACGTGTTGTCTAATACATGGTTAATATAGCCATAGGCACGTGGTGTCTAATACACGGTTAATATAGCTATAGGCACGTGTTGTCTAATACATGGTTAATATAGCCATAGGCACGTGATGTCTAATACATGGTTAATATAGCCATAGGCACGTGTTGTCTAATACATGGTTAATATAGCCATAGGCACGTGGTGTCTAATACACGGTTAATATAGCCTTAGACGCGTTGTGTTTGATGCACGGTTAATATAGCCATTGACACGTGATGTCTATTACATGGTTAATATAGGAATAGACTCTTCATGTCTGCTACATATCTCAAATATACAGACATGTGATGCATGTACATGTTAGATATATCTATAAACACGTGATGTCTGCTACATGGCAAGACATCTAGAGACACGTGATATTTCATACCTGGCCAGATATCTATAGACACGTGATGTCTGCTACATGATGAGATATCTACAGACACGTGATGTCTCCTACATGACCAAGTATCTACAGACACGTTAGGTCTGCTACATGACCAGATCTCTACAGACACGTGATGTCTGCTACATGACCAGATCTCTACAGACACGTGATGTCTGCTACATGACCAGATCTTTACAGACACGTGATGTCTGCTACATGATGAGATATCTACAGACACGTGATGTCTCCTACATGACCAAGTATCTACAGACACGTTATGTCTGCTACATGACCAGATCTCTACAGACACGTGATGTCTGCTACATGACCAGATATCTACAGACACGGGATGTCTGCTACATGGCCAGATATCTACAGACACGTGATGTCTGCTACATGGCCAGATATCTACAGACACGTGATGTCTGCTACATTGCCAGATATCTACAGACACGTGATATCTGCTACATGGCCATGTAACAGACATCACGTGTTGTCTGCACCATGACCAGATATCTACCGACACATGATGTCTGCTACATGACCAGATATCTACAGACACGTGATGTCTGCTACATGACCAGATATCTACATACACGTGATGTCTGCTACATTTCCAGATATCTACAGACACGTGATGTCTGCTATATTTCCAGATATCTACAGACACGTGACGTCTGCTACATGGCCAGATATCTACAGACACGTGACGTGTGCTACATGGCCAGATATCTACAGACACGTGATGTCTGCACCATGACCAGATATCTACAGACACGTGATGTCTGCTACATGGCCAGATATCTACAGACACGTAACGTCTGCTACATGGCCAGATATCTACAGACACGTGATGTCTGCTACATTTCCAGATATCTACAGACACGTGACGTCTGCTACATAGCCAGATATCTACAGACACGTGACGTGTGCTACATGGCCAGATATCTACAGACACGTGATGTCTGCACCATGACCAGATATCTACAGACACTTGCTGTCTGCTTTATGACCAGGTATCTACAGACACGTGTTGTCTGCTACAAGGCCAGATATCTACACACACGTGATGTCTGCTACATGGCCAGATATCTACAGACACGTGTTGTCTGCTTTATGACCAGGTATCTACAGACACGCGTTGTCTGCTTTATGACCAGATATCTACAGACACGTGACGTGTGCTACATGACCAGATATCTACACACACGTGTTGTCTGCTACATGGCCAGATATCTACAGACACGTGTTGTCTGCTACATGGCCAGATATCTACAGACACGTGTTGTCTGCTACATGACCAGATATCTACAGACACGTGATGTCTGCTACATGGCCAGATATCTACAGACACGTGTTGTCTGCTACATGGCCAGATATCTACAGACACGTGTTGTCTGCTTTATGACCAGATATCTACAGACACGTGACGTCTGCTACATGACCGGATGTCTACTGACACTTGATGTCTGCTACATGACCATATATCTACAGAGATGTGATGTCTGCTACATGGCCAGATATCTACAGACACGTGATGTCTTCACCATGACCAGATATTTACAGACACGTGATGTCTGCTACATGACCAGATATCTACAGACACGTGATGTCTTCACCATGACTAGATATCACAGACACGTGATGTCTGCTACATGGCCAGATGTATACAGACACGTGATGTCTTCACCATGACCAGATATTTACAGACACGTGATGTCTGCTACATGACCAGATATCTACAGACACGTGATGTCTTCACCATGACTAGATATCACAGACACGTGATGTCTGCTACATGACCAGATATCTACAGACACGTGTTGTCTGCTATAAGGCCAGATATCTACAGACATGTGATGTCTGCTCTATGATCAGATATCTACAGACACGGAATGTTTACTACATGGCCAGATATCTACATACACGTGTTGTCTGCTACATGACCCGATATCTACAGCCACATGTTGTCTGCTACATGACCCGATATCTACAGCCACATGTTGTCTGCTACATGACCCGATATCTACAAACACGTTATGTCTGCTACATGACCTGATATCTACAGAAATGTGATGTCTGCTACATGACCAGATCTACAGACATGTGATGTCTGCTACATGACCAGATCGACAGACATGTGATATTTCCTACCTGGCCAGATATCTATAGACGCGTGATATCTCCTACATGGCCAAATATCTACAGACACGTGATGCTTACATGTCCAGATATCTACAGACACACGATGTCTTGTTCATGATCAGATATCTACAGACATGTGATGTCGGCTTCATGACCAGATATCTATAGACATATGATGTCTGCACGTGGCCAGATATCTACAGACACGTGATATCTCCTACATGACCAGATATCTACAGACACGTGATATCTCCTACATGACCAGATATCTACAGACACGTGATGTCAGCTACATGGCCAAATATCTACAAACACGTGATGTCTGGTTCATGACCAGATATCTGCAGACATGTGATCTGCACGTGGCCAGATATCTACAGACACGTGATGTCTGCTACATGACCAGATATCCACATACACATGATGACTATACTTGACCAGATATCAAGAGACACATGATGCCTGTACATGGTCAAGATATGTACAGACACGTCAGGCTTGAATGTGATTTTCCATTTACTGATTTCCTGAGCCCCCCGAAGCCTGCGCGGAGAATATGTGCACTTCGGTTTATATTGTGATGAGAACAAAGTCATTTCTTGTCCATGCTGATTCCATCTGTTGTAGCGTCCACGGGGTAAAGGTTACCTCTGCTTCACCTCTCAGTGTGGTGGTAAAACTACTTATGTATAGACTGAGCCGACCCTGCACAGGATGTCATGCGGCATTGTGTAGTTGCTAAGTGGCCCCGCGTCACGACTGGAGTCCGGGTACTGAACTTGGGACTTCCACATCCCCTCTAGCTGTCGCTTGGGCTTCATGGGAGACCATTAACCTAACCTTTGAACCCGAATCAGACGAATGTTGCCATTCAACACGGTGTGTCTGTTGTAATATTCTGTAACTTGTGTCCACGTGTATCGCTCCCCGAAAACCAAATAAATTTAAAGAACATTTTGAAACTTGTCTGATAATTTAATATGACATATGAAGCGTGGTCGTCACTGGTTTTCTCCGGGCAAACAACCTTGAAATGTCTCTAGCTTGGGTGTTAGTAAATCGCTCCTGTGACCTGTAACCATTCAGAGCATGTTTGAAATCTTAATTAAAATAATACAAATGCAAGTTAATGCAATAATGTCGAAATAATGTATGTAT